AACTTGTATGAACATTTAACATAGAACTGGTTATAAATGTGTGACGCCAGAAGACACCTAATTGGTAATTTAAGTGATTATATGAAATTGTGACTCTGTTTTTATAGTAAGTTATTTAATTCATGTTTTATTTATTTATTTATTATTATTTTTTTTTTTTGGTATTCATGAGCAGATTTTAAGAAACAATCACGAGGATTTTAAAATTTGTAGATGTATTAAATTAGTCTCCTTAATTTTGTTTTAGAAATTGTTCTCATAACCTCAAGCAGCTTATTTAGAATTCTCTTGAAATTTATGTGATCAATATGGACATATATTTCAATTTTCTGTTGCAGTGCTCTTTGCAGACAAGTCAATATATGAGTATGCAGAAGGTTCTAAAATTAGGTACAAAAGCCAATCCTTATGACAGGCTGTGGAGTCTTATAGGGTTGTGAGATGTTGAGGCTTACATTTTTTCTAGAAAACTAGCTCACAGATAGTGGTGAGGGTGTCAGCCTTACACACCATCTGCCCTTTACCCCCAGGAATATTCCTGGTGCCTGTTTCTGTTAGAGGCTGAGTCGACTCCAGGGCCATAGTGCAGCTGGAAGGATTATGTCAATGAAGAATTCAATGACCTCATCGGGAATCGAAGCCGCGACCTTGGGCCTTGTAGCATGCTGCCTCAATCAACTACGCTACCGCGTACCCCGTTTCAAAATCAGAGGGTAACAAAGTGATCTGTGAGCTGACTGTATAGAAAATGTGGCAGTCTCAACATCTCATGATCTTATGGGCCTCCAAGGGCTGTTACAGGGATAGCTTTACCTTCAGGGCCATAAAATGATATTAGGGTCATCTCATGAATAACTGGAGTACCTATTAACTGAGCTTAGTTCAATCTTCAGTAAATTTTAGCAGAATTGAAAATGTCATCAACAGTTTATGCATATAATATATGAAAATCTAAAATTTTGTATATTATTTTGCCTTTAGCTTGACATAATTGGTTCTCTGGTAACAGAGACACACACATGGTATGCACAGGGAGCGTAATTCTATAATGTATTTTATTCATTACAGGTTTGACATACAGTAATACAGCATTCACACTTCAATTCAGTAGCACCTGTGCCATCTCAGTTTTGAATCTTAATGAAGAAGAAAGATCACTGTAACCACTAGTAAAATCACGGATTCCTCAGAATGCTGAGTGTTACAAATGCAAGATTTGTGGCCACAGTTGTACTGCCTGCAATCACCTTTTTCTTTGGAATCCTGCCTATTGCGTTTCCTTCCCGACAAAGATGCCCTCTTCTAATCTCAGCATTTCTGTGCTTTGGTGCTGGAGTTCTACTCTCCGTATCCTTGCTTCACATGCTGCCAGAAGCACATGCAGGTGCGCCTGATCTAGCTGAACTCTCCTTCTGCATTGGTTTTCTTTTTTTGTACCTTGTTGATGAAGTGGTCCACTTCTTTTGTGCGTTTTGCAATCGTATTGGCAAAGAACAGGGCTCAGTTTTTGGATTCAATCGTTCAACTTCTGTTTTACCATCTTCATTGTACCGTAGGGCAGCAGAACAACAGCAGCATGTCCTATATGACCAGAATAGTTTTGATGGTGATAGTGGCAGTGATAGTGAGGAGACTGAGCTTCATTATGGAAACCGTCTCAACAGTAATCATCCAAGACGATTTTCTGGTGGAAGTGTTACAACTGAGCCACAAGGTGCTGGAAGGGCAGTAGCGTCTAGCTATGCTCAGTCACTTTGCAAGAATGACAGACCATCTACCAGTTATGGTAGCATGAGCACCACAGAAAGAAACATTGTTGATGCTGAGTATGGTATTCATGTCAGTCATAAAAGCAATGGAATGCAACAGACTTCAGCTTCAGCAGATTTGAGACAAACAGACTTAACGGGCTCTTCTGTATATAATGCTATTTATCTCTCACAAAGAAGGCGAGATACAATTATGTCAACCCATAATTTTCTTGCCCAACAGGAGCAAAGTTATGGAACTGATCTTAACATACTGTGTCATATTAAATATTCTCCACCATGTCCACAGTCTAGGGTAGGTCATATAGGTCTGTTCATAGCACTGACTTTCCATGCGACATTGGAAGGCGTAGCTGTTGGTATTGAGCCATCAGCTGAACAAGTACTGCTGCTGGCTGGAGCATTAGCATGTCACAAGTTTGTAGTGGCGTTTTGCTATGGTCTGGAACTTAGGGCTTCTGGCCATGGATGTATCGGTGTGTTTGGACACTTATTCTTTTTGTCACTTGGCTCATTGCTAGGCATAGTTCTTGGCGGATTACTGGCAGAAAATGAGCATGTTCACATAATCTCTGGACCTGCTGTATCCATTATCCAGGTATGTGAGTTTTGTGAATTCTCAATATGAAATGAAAATCTTATTTACAGCGCAGCTTTTCAACAGCTGATTAAAAACTGCAGTCTTCTGGGATGTGATGCCCTAACATTTTGGAGGAGCCTGCAGTTTTCAAGTTTAGAGTCCTTATCCTGAAGATGTTCCTCCAAAATAATGTTACCTGTCTACTAAAGTAAGTGGTTTCACATCCTAGAAGGCAATAATCTGTATTGTCACTGCTGTGAGAACCTCAAATCTTACCATCAACTTTGTACCGCATCATTAACCTTTAAGTGACGGCCCTTTAAATTCCGGTAATGGCAGCGGGATGGATTTGATTTAAATACCCTCAATTTTAAAGCAATAAAAACTGTAATCATTTCTAAAATTGCTGTGATTTGTACAATTTTTGTGATAAACGAACCAAATAAACGCTGTTTTTTCTAGAAAGAATGTAGAATCAGATATTGTAATTTACAGACTTTATAAAACGTGTAAAAATTTTTAGACTGATTCCAATAAAAAATTCCCAAATTTGTCGTCTCTCTACAAGAATTCAGAGTTCTTGGAACGAAGAATGTTGTATGTAAATGTTGCAAAACAACAGCGGATGGTTTATGTAGCCATGTTTAATCTTGCATGTCTCTAAATATTATACACGTACGTCATTTCGATATGAAGAGATGTGGGGTGAGCATCTATTCTTATACAAGAACCCTGATTCTTTATTATCGCTTGTCGCAAAAAACAAGCTCTCTCTTCTCACTCTGCTGGAAGTAGATTATAAGTACTTTCATGGTTAGCATCCTAATACTGCCAAGCAATATCAAAAGCGTGAACCAACCATTGCGCTGTCTCGTTAGGAAGACGCTGACATATTATTGTAACTTGAATATATGCATTCAACTAAGCTGTTAGGTAGCAAACATGGAGAAGAAGGATTTTCAGTTATTCATAAAAAGTTCTTATATGATGTAATGTATGGTTTATGAAATACAAGAACAATTATTTATGACTCCATAGGCTTACAGTATTCTTTGAAGCATGAAATAACTTGCAGAAACAGATTTGTATCACTGAATGCTGCAGTCAAGCGGGCAGCACTGCTGCTTGTATAAATAAATACATAAATGAATAAATGAACAAACAAACAAACAAATAAATAAATAAATTTGTATTTGCAGTAAGGCTAGTGTGTCAAATGGAAATACAAAAGATACATCAAGAAGAAAAGTGGATCCTTCATTTTAGTTAATTTTTGTTCAAGCCTTTTTCTCTTGCTTTTTTTAATTTATTTTGTTTTAAGGTTGAAATATTTCAGACATTGAGAAATAGAATGACAACAAATTGGTTATTTGAATCTAGTAAGTTGGTCAGTGTTAAAGTTAAACTTTTAATTGTGATATGACAGAAATACCTTTGTATGTTGTAAAATAATTCTAGTAAAACTAACTGTAATACACAAAATAAATATGTGCAGTATAAATTTTTCATGCAATACAGTTACTTCATGGAGCTGAGAAACATACTTGGAACTGAAAGGGAGACCAGGCAGGATTCTCAAAAAGACTGCATAAGGAGAAACTTCATAATTTGTATTCTTTGCCGAATATTATGATGGTCAAATCAGGGACGATGAGATGGGCAGGGAATGTAGAATTTGCGAGTGAGGAGACAAATACATGCAAAATTTTGGTAGGAAACCCTGAAGAAGAAAGGACTTTTGGAGGATCTAGGTATATATGGGAGGATGATATGAAGTGAATCTTGAAGAAATAGAGTGGTAGGCTCTTGTGAATATAGTAACAGATTTTCAAGTTCCTTAATATGCTGGGTATTTCTTGACTAGCTGAAAAAAACTGTTAGTTTCTTATAAAGGACTCCATAGTGTTAGCTAGTTAGTAATACCTAAAATAAATTTCAGCATTTTGCAGTAGTTAACTTATCCTCCTCAGGATTCTTGTACAGGGCATTTTTGTTTTACTGTCAAAGCCTCATTAAACCCCATAACCAAAGGCCATATCCTTGTTCTTACAGTACGAGTGTATTTGCTAAATTACAGAAACTGTCTAAAAGTTTAAAAGAAATGTGATATTCTTAATGCAAATTTATTTTTGGACATTTCTATTTACAGATTTATTATGAAAACTTCTATCTGTAAGAAATGATATTTCTGTTTTTTGCATTAGATTAATTGGTGCTTTGTTTCAGGCAATTTCTGCTGGAACTCTTCTGTACATTACAGTATGTGAAGTATTGCCCAGAGAACGTGCAAAATGGCATCACCATGGTGAACACAGGGCTGCTGGGATCCTACAATTTGCATCACTTGCAGCTGGTTTCTGTGTCATGTATGCTGTTACCTCTTATGTAAATAAAGCATTAACTGAAGGATAACTTAAGAGTGTGGCCTTATGGGTTATAACACCATGTGTTTTTGTATATGATTACCAACATTTTAGAAGAACAGATGTAGCAGTATCTTTTGAAATGCTGGTACTCAGTTGTGTCTCAGTTGTACTGTATTTATGGCTTTTGTATTTGTATGACTTGTTCCACATCCTACAGTCATTCTGACTTACTTTGGATCTATGGAATGTAATATATAAGTATGTGCATATGTATATGTATGTACTAGTTACAAAACTAATACCTTTCAAAGCAATTTTTATCACAATGCAAGTGACACAGAATTGTTAAGTAACTAAAATCGTCCAAATAAAAAAAGATTAAAAGGTGAAGTTGCCCCATACTTAATCAGTTAAGCACCATGCCATGAAGCTGTAGGATGAATGGATGTACGAGTATAGCTCCACCATTTTTGAACTTGGCACTTCATGGAGATGAGTGGTCAGCTTTGCACCCTGGCTGCTTTACCCCTGGGACAAGAGCCCCCAGTACACACTTGATAGAAGGTTAAATTATCCAGATATTACAGACACAAAATAATTGAGGAAATGGTTTGTACCTCTTATAAACTCTATCATTATCAATGCAGCATAACCACATGATGTATGAGTATTTGTTACAGTTGAAAACCTTCTGCTATAAAAATTTTGGCAGAGAATTTATGGTATGTTGCCATTTGCAAGGACAGTATTAACATTTACATAAAGAAATTGATTTTGATCATGTGAACTGAACTGAGTTGGCTAAGGATTGCATCCAGTTGTGAAATTTTGTAGCGAGTATTCCATAACAATATTCATATTACATATTTATACTGTGTGAAACCCAAGAGAATTTTAATCTGTGTTGGGATATTTTCTATATTTATTTGTATTTCATTATATGACACTGTTAACAGCTCAGGCTATATAACATCGAATGATCTGATGGTACTTAATTGGAAGGGATGTGGAAGGTAGAAATTGTGGCCTTAATTAATGTACTAAATCGGAATTTTCCTAGAGGAATTGAGAAAAATCACGGAAAACAGACCCATTGTACTCAGTGTTCTGGCTGAGATTCAAACCTGGTACCTCTTGAACATAGATGAGAAGCATTATGAATTATCTCAGTAGAGTTGAGACAAATATAAGCTTAACATCATCTTATAATTCGGTAATTCTCTTCATTATCATACAGTATGCTGTACTAAGAATTAATTCAGATCATGAACATTACTCAAAAGCTTACATTAAAAGCAGTGCATTTTGCAATTTGCATTTTGCATTTTGCATTTTGTATTAAGCACTAATTTTCAGCTATTTCGATCAGTGACTATGTGAAACGTCAATGTTATTTATAGAATCCGTGTTTCTGTATAGAAATATTATAATTTAATTACATTTATAAAGTTCGCACCACTTGCTGTCATACCTCTAGCCAAGTCAGATTTGTGTCGTCGTCATAGTCCTCATCATCACCATAATCATCATCTTATTTTTCTTTTTCGGACATTTCCGCTTTATGTAGAGTGTCTAATAACCAAGCCTTTCTATCTGTCTATCTCTTCCCAAAGCTGCTTCTTATTTTATCTTATGCATTTCCTTCCATTCAAAACTTTTTTTTCCCTCTTGATCTCTGTCTTTCTTTTGGGTGTTTTCTTTTTATTTTCATGCTCAGGACTTCTGGGATTCTCTCCGGTTCATTCTTAAAATGTTTCCATATTATTATTTCTGTTATTTATTAATTTATCTTCCAACATATTTTATTTCAGAATCCTGTTGCATTGAAATATCAAATAGTCTTCTACTGTCTATAATGCAAAAATATTAATATAGATGTATATGACACTAATCCACGTTTAATTCACTAAAATATTCGTTAAAATGTTTAAAAGTATCATTAAAATATATATACATTCCACATTTATGTGCTACATGTTTCACAAGTCAACACATGATACAAATAACCAACAGAGTGGCCCACCCAATGGGGCACAGAGCGGCCACAATTCAAACAACAGGAAGAACAAACATCCTATAAAACCAAAATGAATAACGACATATATTAAGAGTAAATTTGGTAAATTGCAGACCTGACAAAAAGTAGATGTGGCCTGCAGGCATAATGTTGGTTACTGGGTTTCTGTGAGTTCCACCCTAATGGAAATGTCAATAAACAGTGATAAAGGTGACTAGATCTGCATGCCATCTAGGTAGAAGGCTGCCAAACAGGTAATGGCCATCTGACAGCGTCCACACACCTTTGGTTAATTTGTGATCAGAGAAATGAGAAATACTTTTAATTGTATCAGATTAGCCATTTCCAAGCTAAATGTGAATATTGTTTTTTTCTGGAACCACTATGTGTATTGGTGTGCAAATCATATTACTGTTCCACACATCTAGAAGTTCCTTTGCAACCCCCCCACCCTCCCCAATATCAGCTTTCGCAAAAATTGGTTATGATTAGTAACAGGCCATCTCCAAGCACTCTGATGAAGACTGTCATTGATGCATTGATTTACATTTTTGCATATCATGTTTATGTTACTTCCAGTTAATATGGTCATGATATTAACAAATGCTCAGCAGAAATAAATTTTAATTTTACTGCCCTAGACTTTCTACATAATAGGAACCCTACAAAGATATCGAAGTCATGCTTCATCAAATATTGTCATTTGTCACCTGTTGAACAATAAGCATAAAGTGTGCATCAAATTATTTAGTTCAAAATGCTTTTCACTTTAATATCTAGCAAGTTTCTCTAGAGATGAGCCCAGAGATCCATGAAAGGCTTCATGTTAAATTGCCTTTATTGTTGTTCAATTTTTAACCAAAATTGAAAAATCAGTATGTTGACAAATGTTAGTAAGAACTCTCTAACATAAAATTTCATGAATATTCCTTCAGTGGCTTTGTGAGTTTACATGAGGACTGACAGGCAGAGAAGGCAGGTAGACACAGCGAAACCAAAGGTCGCATTTTTGCAACGTCTCTTTGCTAACTAGCAAAAAAACTGTTTCATCCTTCGTAAGAAAGATACTGCCAAATAGGATGCAATATACTTTAAAATAGTACATAAATAATGGGTTAACTGTAACATATTTTTAATTGATGACATGGCCAAACCGTTGCTAAAATATATATGAGAGCAGCAGTCGGTATAACGACTGGCTACGGGAAGGACGGCCGAGAGGCCAGAGTTCGAGTATCAGTAGGTGCAAAATTGCTCTCCTCATCACATCCTCCAGACCTGCTCCAAGGCCCAGTCAGCCTCCTATCCAATGGGTACTGGGGGTTATGCTATCAGGGCGTGAAGGTGACCGCTGACCACTCACTTCAAACTAGTCCCGAGGTCAATTGTACGTGAATCTATACTTTCACGTCTTCATTCGTTCACATGGCATGGTGCTTATTAATTGCTCACAGGGACTTTTTAATAAAAAAACGAACAGTAGATAAGGTGGTAGATTTAATTTCAAAAGATTGCCTTCCTGTGTACACGGGTCATAATAATCGATGATATACTCTGGATCGCTTTCGATCTCTGGATCGTGTTGATGTAGAGGTTGCCTGCAGTGATCATGCCGCATTTCGTTATAGCAGACATTTTGGAAGTAAATTTGAAATTCGGGTGGCTCTTCGGTTTGTGATATTCCGCAGGGTTATGTGTGTATTTGCTTTTCATATCTTCTCAGCTACACCGATAAAACCTCTTCGAACATGGTACATAAATGCAATTAAGTAAGTCGCTGTACACTTGCAATTCGTAACATTACTTAGTGGAAATATTTGTACGAAAATTTTCTTTAGGAACTTAAGATGGTTATTGTCAAAATATATTCACAGCAATAAACAGTTTCAAAGACAGGCCGATACTTACTTTCGAGACTGTCATAGCTTGTGAATATTTTGGAAGCAATGAAGGTTACCGAAGAAAATCTACTGCGCAAATTTAGTTTTATAGTATTTACAAGCCTTTCATGCTGTACATCGGTTATTGCCGAGAATGTTTTTAGATACTGTTATTGAGCACATAATGATGTCACTTCTGTACGACTTGAATGACTTAAATATTTGTTGATGCCACATGTTGGCCAATTTGAATTAATGTTAGAAAATAAGTTTAAATATTCCAGTTAACTCCATGGAGACAAGCCCTTCTTGAGAAACTGCCAGTTGTGCAGCTACTCAAGAATTTGTCAACACTTTATTAAACTCGAAGAAGAGTCCTCTACTGGTCCCTATCCTGAGCCAGATCAATCCACCCCATACCACCCAATCTTATCTCTCTAAGATCCATTTTAATATTATCCACTCTCATATGTCTTGGTCTTCCTAGTGATATCTTTCTGTCTGTCTTTCCCAACAATATCCTGTTTGAATTACTCTTCTTCCCATTCGTGCTACATGCCCTCCTTGTCTCATACTCCTTGACTTTGTCTTTCTAATTATACTTGATGAAGAGTACAAGTTATGAAGCTCCTCATTATATAGTTTTCTCCAACCTTCCCTTACTTAATCTCTCTTCTCTCCAAATATTCTCAGCACCCTGTTCTCAAACACAATCAGTCTATATTCCTTCCTTAATGCCAGAGACCAAGTTTCACACCCATACAGAAACACAGGCAAAATTATAGTTTTCTATATTAAAATTTTTGCGTTTCTAGATGAAAAGACAAAAGGTTCTGGACTGAATGGAGCAAGCATTACCTGAATTTTAAGTCCTCTTAATTTCCTCCTAAATGAGATTTTCATTTGTTTCTGTTGTTCCCAAATATTTGCATTGTCTATATGTGCTGCATTCTGTTGTGTGTCATGTATATTGAGTATTTTTACATCCATCGACACAACAGTTTCTTATAAAATGTAGATTATTTACATAAAAATTTTGAAAACATGACATGTTTTGCAACATCATCAGGTGTATTGTTTGTGCTTAGGTGCTGAACTTGTTTTTTAATGTGGATCCATATTTTGAATATGACTATATAACATGTAATATTATGCTTGGTATTATCTACTTTTTAGTTCCATTCTGTTGGTATTAGGTGTAATTAAATTAATGTATATCTAGTTGAATGTTAAATGAAGGTAAAAAGTAATATTAAATATATATATATTAGTTATTTCACTGGTGTACTGGTCGCTCTGGTCTGGTTCTTTCTAGGTGGGTATAATGTTACGAACTCTTGTATGTTCACATGCATTATCTCGAATCTAATCAGGTTGCAAGTTGGGTGTAATGGGACTATTGTTGAGACGTTATCATATGGTATATGAAAAATTCCCATGTTTTGTAGGTAATCATTTGGGCTCTGCCCCAACAGGGTTGTACAGGTATGTACTTAACACAGTGAGGACCGGTTGCATGATATCATGATTTTAGGACACGTTATGTTGTAACACACTGTACCTTGCTCTGGCGCCACCCAAGTTGCACGCATAGGCATAATAAAACTCTAGAATGTTTGCTTACTTGTCAGTAACTTGACCTCGCTGTTTTCTTAACCCACTATAAACGAAAATGCTTTGGTGCTCTTCGAGCTGTATGTTTCAGCCAGTAGTTAGTGGTGGGGTATGGACAAGGACAAATTCTTCTCCGATGAGCTAGCTGACCTGCCTTGTGAGACGCATAGCCATGGTGATTGAGAGAGTGGCAGTGACAGGGGAGAAGAAAGTATTGTGGCCACAGACAGTAAAAGTGACCATAGCTCCGACGATAATGGGGTAATAACATTGCAGGGACAGTAAAAAATTAAAAAAAAAATCACAAAAATCTAAACCCTGATTCGAAATTTAAATACAAAGCATTTCTGATGAATGTGGACCCCCAGGGCGACTCTCAGGTGATATGCGGAAACATACCCTCATGAAAATTGTGAAGAGTGAACATTCCAAGGGGAAGCATCCTTCTAGGCAGTGCCAAGTTTGCACAGTTCACAAAAAAAGGAGTATGTCTACATTTGCAAATTCTGTGTAATGCCACTTCACAAAGGGGAATGTTTCCAGAAATATCACACCCTCAAGCACTTCTAGGAGCATTGGTAAGTGTTCTCCAAAAATTTTAGTTCATAAAATTAATTAGGAGATTTTATATTCATTTTTAAAGTGAACAGTGCACAAGTTAGGATAGTAGGTTTAATAATCATGGCCCCAGGTTGATTTAAATATTTAAATTGCTGGCCCTTAATGTGTTAATTACCATCAGTAGCAGGTTGCAGCTTCCATAACAAATTGCCTAACAACATAAAACAAATAGGTAACAACAACCAGTTTAAAAAGGAACTGATGGATTTCTTAAGGGATGCTATTATTCAGTAGATTATCTCAGTGACGAATTTTTTAATGTTGGCTACTGATAAGCAGATATATGTTATATTTCTAATAAGTTTATATTTATGATCATTAATGTATTTCAGTAATAATATGAATGGACATGACCTGTCAATGTATTTTGATCTGCAGGATAAAGTAAAAATGAATGAATGAACAAACGAACATACACATACTTTTCTCTGCGTTTATTCTAGATGAATCTCCTCTTAACATATATTAGAGCTACTTTGTTTCTGTTTATGGTATTTATGTTATCTCCCAACAGATTCACATCATCATAATAGACCAGCAGCTGATGTGTCCCGTTTAATTTCAGTCCCATCTGGTTTTCTTGAAGCTTCCTAATGGCATACCCTAAAGCAAAGTTGAAAAGCGGTGGTAGTAATGAATCTCCTTTTTTTATATCATTTTGGATAGGAAATTTGTCAGACAAATGTTTACCTATGCAGAGTTTACTATAGGTTTCATTTAAATACATTGTAATCAACCTAACGAGTTTCAGGTATACACCAAACTCTATGAGAACTCCTAATTGAATTATAGCTTTCTTGAAGTCTATGAATATCTGATGTACTGTCTTATTGTACTCCCATTTTTTCTCCAGTATCTGACGAATGCAAAAAGTCTGATCAGTAGTTTGTCTGTTACATCAAAACCCACGCTGATGATCCCCAATAATTGCATCTACATATGGACTTAACCTCGACAGAATGATATTGGATGAAATGCAGTTATTGATTATCCAAATGTATATGTTCCTTTCAGTAGAATCAGCTGAACTACAGAAATGAGTACCAGGAATTGATTAAATAATTTTCCTGGGGAGTAAAGCATGGCCGGCATGTAAGGCTGACAACCTTACTGCCATCTTTGAGCCGATTGTCTAGATAACGTGGGACCCTTGTCTCACAACTCTATGGGCCTTCACGGCCTGGTACAGGGATAGCTTTACTTTTTTTACTTTTTTAATGTAAAGAGGGTAAATTCATTAAAGATGATTTTCAGTAGAAGAAACGACTTTAAACAAGTAAAGAATAATGTGCTGAAATTAGTATTTCATTGCATCAGTGAATGGAAAGCATACTGCTTTAGTAACATAACTTTGTTGTCACTTTTAAATGAGAATTTTGGGAACCACTTACCCTATTTTGATTCCCCTGTACCTTGACTTCTTTTATGTAACAACGCAGATTGAGTAACTTCAAATTTTTATATGCCATGAAAGTTGTAAGGCTACTTTATGTTTACTCTGTGTTTAACTTCCACACATACCATATGTTGTGCTAAAATATTGGCAATATTAGAAATTTGTTATTGTTTCAAAATGTTTCGTCCATAGCCTTATTGCTCTTTTATTCTTTAATAAAATCCAGGTAAGCAGTGTTCATTGTATGTCATGTACCTGAGGTGTAAAAGTGTAAAAGGAACATGCTAATTATGATGTGAAATTGACAGCTTAAAATTGTGTGTTGAGGAGTTTCAATATTTTGTACTCTTCATCAACCATTATAGGATGAGCATAGGGGGGAGGATGAGATAAGCAGAGGCATGTAGCATGAATGGATGGATGAGAAATGCATACAAAATGTTGGTTGTATCCTGAAGAAAAGAGACCTCATGGAAGATCAAGGCAGAGATGGGAGGACAATATGAAAATGGATCTTGTAAAAGTAATACGGAAGGATGTGGGCAGGATTCATATGGTCATTGGCAGGCTCTTGTGCTCACAGTAATGAATCATCAAGTATTATAAGACAGAGGAAATTTCTTAAGCAGTTGAACAACTGTCAGCTAGTCAAGAAAATGTTTGCTCCATGGACTTAGCTAAATTATAACTCTGGTCAGGTCTGTGAATAGTGTCTAAGATGTAATGTCTATTTATAAGCCAAAATTGGGCTCTTTGAGACTTTTAAATTAAAGTGGAACGTGAAGGCTGCATTTTCTTGCTCTCTCAGTCACTGTATGGGAATAATGCCATTAGCTCAACAGTCCTCAGTCCAGAAATTCTGAACTTTCCCTTTCTCAAATATTAATCTGAATTTATGTTTTAATCTGTTGACATACTGTACAGCCAAGTTTCTTATTTCGATAATTAAGCCAATCATACTTCACACAAAAGTAATATTTTTGACTGACAATATAGCAATGAAGCCAGTCACTGTAAATTATCTCTTGATTCACTTCCACACTTGTTTTTAATTTCTTACCTATGGAAGGTGAAAATATACAATTCCTTTCATTTTGTACTTTACGGTTCAGGCAAGGTTTTTTCTTAAATACAAATTAATTCATAACTGCATCACCACTTTATTGCATGGACAACTAAATAAAACTGCTACTTAGGGATTTGCCAGGAAAGTATGGCTGCTGTAAGGGCAGATTTTTCCACTGTGCAGGTCAGTAGAGTAAAGAAAACAAGAAATACAATAAATGTATCATGTAGGTATAAAAGGGATCTCAGGTATGGCAGGGGTAGTTCTAGGAAAAACCCAAGCAGCATAGTAAAGGGCAGTGCGCTAAAACTCTGAACTAACGGTAAACCAGGAACATGGTCATAACATATTCTTCTTTCTATTAAATTTTATTTCCGTGTTGTAGCAAGTATATAATTTGAAATTTCTTGAGGTAAATGGTCCTTGATAGCATTGTATTTCATAACATTTTCAACCCAAAATTGTCATCAGCATCAGATACAAATGCCAGCTCAACAAGAATGTGTTTTTATTAAGAAATCATTCATAAATATATTTAAAAATAAAATAAAAGTTATAGATAAATAAAACAATAAGATATGTAAAAAAACAAGGAAGGAATCTGAAATGGCCATAAGAAAGCATGAAAGATTGACCAGTTGCACATTTTGTGTTACACTGTGCTTAGAACCTACTGAATTGCCATAAATCATGTTCAGAATGAAATAAGTTCCGTGTTCAGTAGAACTGTTTATCTTAGAAATAAAAAAATAAAACTGATGAACTTGGCACTCCTCTTGGGATGCAGGGTTTCGAAAGTCATGGACCTGAATCGATACTGTTTCTAATGATGGTAGTAGACCCCCTCACCACCACTATGCATCTGATATGTCACCATCAATAAAAGTGCCAGTATGCTGCTGTACCATTGCGTACTGTCAAAAAAAAAAAACACTGGTTTAAATAATGCATAACTTGTACTTTTGTGGCTTGATGGGACTATGGTATATGACTGATGAAATGCTGGGTACTATTTAAGTGGACACAAAGCACCTCACCAGCAACAGTAATACACCTCTGTTCAGGTTCATTTTGTTGACAAAGTGAAATTACAGAGCCACCAGTAAAGACACAACAGAAAATCAATCAATTACCAATATTAAAAAGCTTGCTCCAAACAAAAAGTAGAAAACTAATACATTCTTGAATGTCATCTCCAAAGAATTGCGGTGCTGACCTGAAATATTTTTAAAATACTTAAACGGAATACCATATATTATTCTCTGCTGTGTGTCTGAACTCAGAAATTACTATATGGCTTGCATAATGCTCGTATCTTGGCCCTACTTACACATTTTTATTTCCCTGAGAAATGGTCCTTTATACAATTACTTTTTTTGAATGAGAGCAAGTCATGCAAATAAACCAGAGACTGGATCCTTCTCCTATACAAAGTTCTGTGACACAGATTCCATTTTTTAACAACAGAGCAGAGCTTTAAGAGCCAGAGTATATTAAACCACATAACAATGAGACTCTCAGACCTAAAGATGTAGACTTGCTGCATTTCAAGTGATGTTCTCATGACAGTGATCATGAAGATTACTTTTTTTTGGAGATATGATGCTGTGTAGTCTGGTAGATAAGTAGAAATATTTCAGAGCAACCCACTGCCTCCATCTCTAGTGCTGAAGAGTAAGGCGAGTGTGGGGAAGAGGTGGTATGGATATTTGGATTGGGAAGATAGGACCATGGCTCCAGCCATGTTTTCCCTCTACCACTATCCACACCGCTTTTTTCTTTCATGTGTAGCTTACTCTTCAACCTTTAAGATGAAGGCAGCAAGTTCCTCCGAAATGCTGGTAACATTGTGCCAGACTACATCCCAAAAGATACAAAGGCTGGTGACAGAAGTATGGCGTTTCAAAGTGAGAGATGTATGCTAGAGAAGAGCAGTATATAAAGTATCAGTATAGTTTTATAAATACATTAATGTCTCATTCCAAACACAATTATGATCTAAAATTTAACTGAATAAATAAAGACACTAATTTTACATACGATCCTAAGTTGATGTTGCTTTAAGTAGAATTAATGTTCACAGATTTATGTGCTGCATTTCTCAGTGAATTACAGCGTCAACAGCACAAGTCTTAAGACCTTGAACTCCTTTTCAGTGCAACAGAGAATTCATATATTGAATATAACAGCACCATGACTTCTAGTACTGGTCTTTTATGGGCTCATTTTGAAAACTGTTTCTCAGCTGGTGAAAAATATTGTAGCCTTATTTTAAATGAGTAAAAAGTGGTAGGCTAGGTATGTCCTCATAAGTATTATCACAAAGCACTACACTGCTATCAGTTTCACCTCCTGTTTGGATGATATATGTTGGCATTGCAATGGCAAATAACATGTACGACCTCCCCAAATGTAAACACTGGCCAATGTAGGGGAATACAGCAGAAAAGGAGAGTGTGAGTGTAAATATTTTACCTGATGATGGCCATAAATAGCCGAAACATGTTGTAAAATAATATATAAAGTTTATATACAAACTGTGGTGACAGAGCCAATAATAAGTTGTTCACACACAATATGACACTGAATTACAATATTCCTAATACAATAGTCCTTAGATGGTGTTTCTTTCCTTGACATAACTAAGGTAACTCCTTAGGAAGATATTTAAATGACCTGTCTTAATTGCTTTTTCTATTCACATGCTACATCTGCTTCTCCATTGTTTCAGTCAGGAGAATTCAGTAATGACTGGGAGTCAAGGAAAGCCTCTCCTGGCAGGAAACTTCTATTGAGTGTTAAAGAACTAGCAAGGAGAGCCCCAGGTTGAGTGATGCCATGGCTGAATGGGAAGAAGGAGCCAACTTGAGTAAGAGTCTGTTCGGGTACACTTTCACCCCGTTGCAGGGCTGCCATTTCTGCAGACAACTGCCGATGCTGAAGATCTATCTGTGCCTGCCCACCCCCAGGGATCTCCAAGAATGGTAGCCATCGGAAGTAACACTGTCTCCAGAGGCTCAATGAGGGTAATCCACCTTGTGCTCTCAATTCCTTTGGCTGTGACGGACTACAGGCTTCATATAGTGGGTTGGTGAATAATGCAATGTCTTCTTCTGGGAACTGCTCCCCCCAGTCCCAAACGCTTCTTAACATAAGAGGGTTATTTTGATCCTGTAACAGAAAATTAACTGCACTTGATTTGTGAAATAGTAATCTATTATGAAGTCAAGGTAGCAGAAAATGGATCAAAATTTGCCGGGACAAAGGATGACATAAACTTTGCATCCATAATGCAAAAGCCAGCTGCTAGTCCCACTTATGAGCCAGTCTGGCTCAATTTACATATCCAGAATGTCTTGTTAAGATTCCATTTTATATTACTCTCCCAGCTCTGCCTTCCAAATGGCTACTTAGCAGGTTTCTCCAAAACTGCGTAGAATTGTTTGTTTCTCTTATATGAACTGAATGCATGACTCTCTGTAACATGAATTTGTCTTACCAATATTACAGTAGTGTAACTCAGAAAGCACTAAATTAATAATGGGAAAAAATTTCATATTATGGTGTTCTGAGATGTTACACCATATAGTTTTTAGACAGGTACCAGTATTTTGGAGGAACTTGCTGCCTCCAACTTCAACACAAAAGAGTAAGCCAGCTATGCCCTAGTTCTGGTTCTCCCTTCTCTATGTCATGTACCATTTTTCCCCATTTGGCTTACTCTTCAATCCTGAAGATGGAGGTAGTCCTCTGAAATGTTGGTATCTAACAAATTACATGTTGTCACATACAAGGAGACCATAATCTAGGGTTCCCATACTTTTATAAAAAAATTGGACATTTCCAGTTTTCTCCTGAAAAAAAAAAACAGGACATGATAGGAAATTAATCAAAACAAAAATCAGTAATATATTATACATTAAACACTGAGAAATTTAAACATATAAAAATGAGCTCAAAATAATTAATTTAGAAACTTAAAAAAAATTCATACAGAAATAAAATGTAGGGCTTACTCTGGGAAAGCCTTCCCAGATTCACCTGAATATTTATCAGATTTGTGAACATTTTCCAAAAACACTTTTCTTTTGATATTTGGGAAAAAACTCTGAACAAGAGAAATCTTTAAAGTCAGTCTTCACAATAGTTAAGAAAAACAAAATAAACTCTGTGGTTTCAGTTCGCAAGCAAACTATACCGATCGAGCGACCGCCGCTTGTTGGCGAAGTTAGTGCCAACTTTAGCAGATAGAGGTGTAACACGGTCAGTGCAACGGATCCCCACAGCCATTAATCTCGGTTTTCTAGACCGGAGCTGCTATTTCCTTGAAATAGCTCCTCAGTTATCCTCATGATGCTGAATGGACCCTGTTTCAGAACCACTACTTCTCAGGAAATCTGGTAGCGTCAGAAATCGAACGCGGAACTCTAACCACTAGACCACAGAGGCAGTCCATAATGGTTAAGGCTTTCGCCATTTCTATTTTAAGTCTGTTTTTTTTCCACTAATATTCTTCATACTTAAGTAGTTATTTATGCTGTAACTGGAAGCTTTGTTTTGAACAGCTAGTTTTTTTTTCATGTGATTGATGATGTCCAACCAACGTCCATATGCAATGCAAAATTTTCGCGTTGCATAATACCTGTATGCATTCCGTATCCTCATTCACACCTTCAATAAATGGATATTTGCTCTTAATACTGACATTAATACTGCACTTGCATTTTGCCATCACTATATGGATGAAAACCAATAAATTTCCACAGACTCGCACAACACAACGTAATGGTCAACAAAGAATGCAGAGAATGATACAAATGGAACTTCCATTATGGAAGCAAATCAAAATACTACAAACATAAATGAAAAAAAAAAAAAAAGAAACAAAATATTGCCAACAAAAAATCTAATAATTTGTGAAACTGTTTTGTGGATTAGCCCCCAGGAGTGTTAACATCATTATAGAAATGCCAGTTGCAGAGAATAGCATCTGTTACCAAGCAGTTATGGATAGAAATCAATATTATAGAAGAGTACTTAAAACTGGAACATTTGAAATAAATCAAGGACAGTGGGACATACAAAAAAATGGGACTGTCCCGGGAAAGACAGGATGAATGGGAACCCTACCATAATCCGATCATTTGATGCCATGATAATTTAAAAATCCCATAATGACATAATAGAAACATTACAAAATTATACATCGCTTTAATTTATGCTTCCACAGTTCCTAATTTGTTTCACTGTATGGTATGTTTGTTTTTGTCCTTGTTTTCTCTAACCCAACTACCAGCCTTGTAGTGCCAGGTGATTTAAACCTCCCCCCCCCCATTCCCATAAGATAAAGGCTAATGACAATATCAGCTACTATCATGGCTGATCTGAACATAGTGCTTTACTGACATTTGCCTGGAGGATCTATAAGTTTGTGATGATGGTATATTAATACAATTATTGAGTTTTTGAACATTATTCATTGTCCTGTTTTTTTTATTTAAAACACTAAATAGAAAACACAACAATGAATAATGTCCAGAAGAACTCAATAACTGTACCAAGTAAAAGAGTTTACTACCGCACTGCACATTCAGTTCCAGTTTTGAACACAACAGTTTGGTGTTCATTACTTCACAACTTAAGTCCCATCACTTCAGATGTAAAAACGTGAACATCTGACTGTTTTAATTCATTTGCTCACCAATGTCTGCTTCTAGATCTTGGTGCCAGACATCAGGAAGAAGCAACCTACTCATGCTGGTTCTTTGCTTGCGGATTTTTCTACCCTGAAGATGGAAGTGATACATTCCTCCAAAACATCGGTTCACACAAGATCTACACAGTGCCACATCCCAGAAGACGCATTCTTCAAGTGCTGTAGTACCTTCTTCAAGGTGTGTGCTGTTCTTTGAAGCACCACCTTCTAATACTTTGCACTGGAGTGTTTATTAGAGACATCACCTACATATATATTTTTTTAAATGATCCAGTTATCCCTTTGATTACTGGTATCATCTTTACTTTCAGGTTCTTTTCCCAACTTAGCTCAATTCTACCCTGAAGATGGAGGCAGTCATCTGATAGATTTTCATTACATTCAGTGCAAACATCATGCCACTGGAAATTACACTGCTTCCATACTCCTCAGTTCCACAACATAAGTAACATGGCAGCCACTGGAGTTGGAAATGGCAGCAAATGTAGAAAGGTAAAGTTGCCCTGCACAAGCAGCATGCTGTGGAAGTGTACAGGAGTGGAGGTAGAGTTCTATACATTATTAACCTCATCACTAGATGCAAGTGAGCTGTAATCTTCACATTCTGGCTGTTCTTCCATTTATGCTATTATAGTAGCACTCAGCAGTGAAAAAGTTAAAGCAAATGATAAAAAAAATGCAATGAGTTGACTAGAATTTATTTTGTCTGGATTTCTCCAATAAAAATGTTATGAAGCACACATCATTTGTTTTGTGAGACAGTACACATTCTCAGCTTTAATTAGTCAAAAGTTTAAGTTACATTTGAAGCCATCCTCAAGACACACTTCAAGTTCATTCAAATTAAACTTCAGTGTCATGAAAAAAATCTTATTTTTTATAGTTGTGATGTTCTCCTTATATCATCTAAAGAGATTACACCAACAAAACTGAATTCATGGAATTTAACCTATACTTCTGTTTTTTTACATTGTTGACGTGTGCATGCTTGGCACAAATTTTCTATCATGTGTTTACTGCGATTTTATTCTTTTCTCCCACTGATGGAATCGGTTGTTGGTTGTTCATAATTTTTTTTTCTACACACCGGGGTTTGTCCAGTGATTGAGACTAGCTCTTTCTAATGGGCCCAACTGAGTAGGTTTATCCTTCCCTACCCACCTGAAGATGGAGACAGATCCAGTCTCTGAAACGTCATGGTCTTTTGTCTTTTACATACCAGACGATGGATGAAGTCCAAAATAAGCCAAAAGAAGTACAACAAAACTGTGTTGTTTTTCCATGATCAATCCTTATGGATGCAATGTTAGTTATCAGTGACAGTAGGAATTTCCTTTGTACTTGTACTAAGGCCATGGACAGAAGTGATGTGGATGCTGAGGATGACTCACGCCTGAGGCTTTCCACATCTTGCATACAAGGTGTGGCAATAAAGAAACCGGATTACTTTTATGACTCATTTCTGGCCACGTCATTGACGAAGAGGAGGGTAGGGCATTGACCCTTGGACTTCCCTCTACCGTCACACAAAGTTTCATTCACATGCATCGGTTAGTCTGGCCGCGACCATTGTTAGAAGCGGATCGTGTTTCTGAGCTCCGTCGGAATAATGCTGAGTGCTAATGCAGAACAACGTGCTAACATCAAATTCCTCACAAAACTTGGAAAATCTGCCACTGAAACTTACAATTTGTTGACAGAAGTATATGGTGATCA